AAAAAAAAAAAAAAAAAAAAAAAAAAAAGAAGCAAATCCACCTCCTATCAGACATTAATCAGGAAATGAAACATGTAATTATGAAAACCATCAGAAAGATAAAAGTTGCTGACAGTAACCACTTCCAGGAAATGGAGGGTGACTGGGTGGGGTTGGGGTCACGAAGACACATTTTGTTTTGTTTTGCTTTCCTTTGCCCCCTACCATGTCTGATTTTTTTTAACTACGTCCTATGTTACTTCTTTGGTAATAAATTAAAATGATGGATTAGGAAGAAAATGTAATTGTAACATCATACTTACAGCAACTTATCTGTATATTCTGAGCTATTTCTAATGAATTACCATTTAGTATTCCGACAAAAGTAGAGTCTGGCCTCCACTTAACTGCACTGTAGTGGACTCTGTGTTTTAATATAATACTTCTCATTTCCTACATATTCAGATAAAATTTAGCCTTAAATAGATATAAGGCAAGCAATATCCTAACCTTTTGCAAGGCTCTTTGTCAATCCCTATGCTCTTTATTAAGTGCATGCCTTTGTTGTATATAGCTTAGTCACTCAATTATTGAAATCAGAACACCTCATGACATTTCTAAGTGTACCAAAGACAATCACCTTGGAACAGAAATTTCAACCATTTTTTTTCTTTAGATAAACAATATGAACATCTGTCAAAGACAAAAAGAAGACAGAGATGATTCATGAAAGAGCATTATCAACTGTGAGAAACCTCTTGAAAAGTAACTATGTTATGTATGAAAAGGTAGTTACTGATGATTCATTCACTATGACAAGAGAGAATATATAAATGATATTTTGAGAAAGAAAGAGTGGGTCAGGGACAGATGCTGCAGGGCAATCTAGAAATGTTTACTGTATTACAAACGTATTCAGAAATCATGACATATAATATTAACAAATGTAGTGTGTGAACATGCTGACAGGACTGAAGTCTTCCACTTGAAAAGAAAATGCTAAAGAGCCAACAAGGACCACATAACCTGATCCTCGGTATTTCTGTTCATTTGCCAACGTGTACATGAACAGCAAGATCAATATGTTCAGGCCCTTACTGTGAAGCATGTGGCTGCATAAATCAGCACTGACTTATAATGCAGAATGAATGCCTCTATCCCTTCTCATCTAGCTGTATCGAAGCTATGCAATATTTTTCTTCGTGTCATACTTAGGAAAAACAACGTGTTAACACTGCTTAACATGCCAAATGAGTGTGAGTTTGCCTCCTTTTGAAAATCGGGTTGCTGAGTCATTCACCTGGAAACCCAGTCCGGATGGGGTTAATTAAATCCAGCTGGAGCACGACACCTGACAAAGATGCTTATTGAGAGGGCATTTGTTCTTGGATGGAGCTTTACCATGAAGAAAATTTGTATTCTGGACTTTTCTAGAAACAAGATCGGCATAGGGAAATGGGAGACTCGTCAAGAAAAGAAAGATCAAAGTGAGAAAAGATAAGCTGCATTGAAAATCAGGGCAGATGCAGTCCAGTGGCATTTCAAACACGGTTAATAAGGGAATGTATTTGACCCTGGGGATTGGGCCAGATAAAAGAGATGGGTAATAGGAAAACCAAAGTAGATATCCTTTGCACTCAATGTGTTATACGTAAGATATATATA